CGGTACCCCTCATTTATTAGGGGTACAGTAGCAACTCCCGCAAAACATTTATAAACACTATCGTTTTTAACTTTCTTCCATCGTGGTCACTGTATCCGAGCCACATGCATGATAATGGGTTTGGCCATACGTAATCATTGGTTAAAATTACCTAATTTAATTGTTTAAGGAACCTTTGTCGATCACAAAGTTAGAATATAGTTGGTTGATGATTTGCCATGAGGGTATTGTTTTTTTCTTTTTCTGGGGCAATAGTTGTTCTATACTGAAATTCGATTTTCTACCGAATTGATTGCTTTTTGTGTTATTTGAGAAGTTGTAGTGCATTTTAACTTCAACATATGATAACGAATCAGTAAAGCACATATATCTAAAATGAAAACTTTATTATGGATTGGAACTACAACATAGTCGTCAACGACAAGACATTTATATCATGGAATCATGAGACATATTAATACGTACGTAACACTAGGGTTGATGCTGAAAATCACAAATTATTAATGGTTGATTCCTATGGCCGATCACTGGAGCTTCAGGTTTTTCAGCCTGCAAGTCAGAGTTATAAGAAATTAATTAGCCCCAGCAACAGAAAGGCAAAAATACAAAAGTATAAAGATGATAATTTTTATTTATTTATTTATCTATCAAAATTATAATAATGATATCGGAATTTTAACCTACGATCCTTTGTATGTTACTCAAACCTTTCATTAGTAAGCTAATGGTAGTAGTCGATAACATTTGTTTAATAAGCATTCTATTGAGAATCCGAAAAGACGAAAACTTACCGCTAGGGATGGCAGGGGTGGGGCGAGTCCGGTTTTCATGATACCCGTTCCCGTCCCCGCGAGTCAAACTCGTTCCCGTCCCCATCCCCGTACTCGTCATGTATATAATTTTCATCCTTATTTTCCTCCCTATCGGGTATCGGATATACCCGTACCCATACCCATACCTGTCAATTTTTTTATTTTTATTTTTTATAAAAAAAATATAATATTTTTAAATTATTTTTTTTATTATATTATAATTATAATTAGGTTATTTCTCTATCTCATATTATAATAAATAATCACACATAAAAAATATTAAAT